TCTCTCTGTCTCTCTCTCTGTCTAAGCGTGTGACTTGGATCAGCCCAGCCTCATGACTACAGGAATGTTGTCTGTGTACATGGTTCTCAGCTCAGACAACACTAGAAAGCAAGTTTTTACATGTAGAGGTTAATTAAGTTCAATTCAAGCCTTATTTTGATATGAGACTTTGATTGTCTCATATTATTGTGATTTTGTGCCACAGACTAAAGTTTGTCCTGAAGGTGCAGTGGAAATGTTTTATGATTTTAGATGTTATCTTACTGGCATTTAGGGAGAAGAGTTTGTTTTTGTTGGCATGGATTTACTGGAACTGTCACACATTAACTTATAAAGGTTCTAGATCAGTTGGGGTCATATAAGAGATACGACATTATATTCTGAGACCAATTCATAGATAAATAGACAACAAATAAACTAAAGTAACTCACACTAGAATAATACTCAGTCAGGCCCTGAAAGCAGCACCATAATACTGTCTAACTGTACAGGACTTTATACTATTAATACTGTGAGTGGCTGGTGTTACTTCAGGAAAACTTTGCCCCCATGTGGATAAAAGTTGTAAGTGTATTTAGCACAATGCTCTTAGGATAAATAAAATTAAATGCATTAAAAATGCTAAATAATGATTAATTAAAAATGAATAACACATAGGTCATTAAAATGTAATCACTATATATTATTGTTATTAGGTTTATGTATATATGTAGATTCATTGTTTTTTTATTGAAATTAAAACAACATTTAAACATCATTCAGCAGCTTTTTAAGGTACAGTATACGTGTTAGGTACATTTCCATACAAACGTACATTTTATAAAATAGCAAATGTAATAGCAAAAGTAATTAAAGATCTAATTATAAGAATACAAAATAAATAATAAGTAAACAATAAATAAAATACGATTGTTCAGTAGACTTATCAAACAACTCGTCTTTTGTCAAACTTTAATATTTAAAAACAAGTTGCTATTTTACATTTGTCATAATAAACGTGTATTAAAATATATATAAGAATATAAATATAGATAAGTAAGCAGTAAAAATCTAATCTTTTAAAATAAAATAATATACACGCAAAGGACAAGAGCAGTAAAGGAGAAAAACAATAAAATAATATATTTTTTAAAAATACAATAACTTAAAAAAGACAAATAGCAAAACCAAATGTAATTTATACCGATCCATTGTGTAACTTATATACTATTTTTGTTTTACGATGATTAAATATTTATTTTGGTGTATGACGGAGGTCACGTGACTGCCCACCTTAGTCATATGACCGACTACAGTTTTTGGTCGCAGTGTGGATGAGCTAAAGAGAGCATTTCCGCCTTTAGCTCTGTGTCTGTTTTTGTTTTTTATTGATTTACTTCGAGGCTCCACTTTAAAGCTTCGTGTTAACTCTCTCTGTCGGAGGAAAGCAGAAGTTTTCAGGACTTGAATCAAACATGGAAACGGGAAGCCGGCTCGCTGCACTGTCGTTCCTCCTCTCCGCTGTGTTGTCTCTCTGTGTTTGTGCCAATATCCCTGAACCGGTACAGTAAACTGTCAAACAATATCAGTTTATATAGAAATAGGTTAGAAATCCAAACACCATCTCTGCTGTGGGTGCACATGTTGGAAAGTGTTGATTCAGCTTGATTTCTGTGATCAAAACTGACTTTCTGGGGGAGGATTTAACATGTTTATGTTGTTTTGCATGCCTTCATGTGTTGTTATAGTGAGAATAAATAAGCTTTTGCAGCCTTGTGATTGGGATTTGTGAAGAAATATCATATATATGCTTCCTAAAGTGAAAGTATGATCACCTGGTTGTGTAACCAGACACTAGATGCAGATGCCCAAACTGGTTTTGCCAGCATATATTGCTTTCCTTTAGCCAGCTTCTCCTCTCCCTTTACCTAATTTTTCTGTCTTTGCTGTCCAGATTAACCCTTTGGTGTTTGAGGAGCAGCTGCTGTGGGTGAGTGGAGCCCAGGGGCAGGTGAACACCTACAGGATCCCCCTGCTCACCTTCACCCCCAAAGGAAGCCTGCTGGCCTTCGCAGAGGGCAGGAAGTCTACGGCCAGCGACGTGGGAGCAAAGGTCCTTGCAATGCGGCGGTCCACAGACAAAGGCACGAAGACCACCAGACAAACTGTTAGATATACACACCCAAAAACACACAGCCTGTACACACACACACACACACACTTAGAGAGTGTTTGTATGTATTCAAAAACAATATCAATCAGTCAATCAATCACCTTTCATACAAATTTAGTGCAGCTTCAAAGTGCTTCACAGATGACTGACAAGCCGATAATAAGACAGAATGGAATAACAGTAAAAATTACAATAAAATAGATTTAACAAATATAACAAAATGAAAACTATACTAGAAACTAGATCAGATTGTTTATTACATTGTTACAGAAGTTGGTTATGATCAAATGTATCAGGAAACATCACGAGAAACACAAAAGTAAAGAAACCAAAGCAGAAAATCTTTTCACAAGGTCCAGTTGTTTGATTTGCAGATGCATCCTGTGGCCTTAATCATCATGTAGAGTCTACATGATGTAGACAGTAAGCTGACCTTGTGATAAGATTTCTTTTAATCAAACCAAGAATGAAGCTTTAAGCTCAACATAGAGAAACTCACATGAGCTAAACTTTTCAAGCTTCCTTAAAGACGACAGATCAATTGCACAGACTACAAAATGTCAGTATTATTAGAATTAGATACCCATTTATAAGCAGTTATTGTATTGGGTATCTTACTTTGGGGGATAAAAACACAAATAATACAAAATAAATGCTCTCAATTAACAGGAGAAGTTCTTAAACAGTAAAAGTGTTAGATAGTAATAGAAGAACTTAAATAATATACAGCCTAAAATGGTCAAAACTGTGATTTAAGTGAGTATAAAACTTCAGACAAAACATAAAAGTATCAAGACAAAAATATAGAATATTTACATTTTGTAGTAATCCATCCAAAGTGATAATATAATGTGTATAAAATGAATGGGTGCATTATTTTAGTGGCATTACTGAAAGGATTTATTTGAATCTCAACACAACAAAGTAATAAAAACTGCTTGATGAAACAAACTCTGGCTGAATATATACAATTTAATTAAACACACAAAAGCAGGACACAAGAAAAAAAGAACTTTGTTTTGTCTTTGAGGGGAACCCCCCCCCCCAAAAAAAAA